GGGAGGCGGCAGCAGCGTGGCCGCGGGGGCACCGGGGGCCTCCGGTCCGCCGGGTCTCTGCCGCGGGGTGACCCGCTCCCGCTTCCCAGCAGGACCTGCAGATCCCGGCTCCCGGCCGGATCCAGCACTGGGGGCCGCAGGTTCCCGTCCCGGGGGCTCAGTGCCCGCACAGCTGCGAGGGGATGCGGGGTACGGCATCACCGTCCGGACGAGGGAGAGAGTGGGAACCTGATGAAGCAGCGGTGCAACCGTCGACCCCAAAAATCTCAACGCGGCTGGGAGCCACCGTGCAGCTGCCAGCGTGCTGGCGGGTCCCTCCGGCATCCCTACAGCCCGAGGATGCGGGTGGCGTGTGTGATTTTGTGTCACAGGAGCCGTGGCATTAGGATTTAAATGTTTAACGGGATAACGGCTTAAGGGCAGCAGTTGTTTCTGATCGCTGCTGGCCTCCCTCCCATCCCAGCCTTCTCCCGCTGGTAGAGATGGGTGCAATGCTCGCTCCCTGCCCGGCTCCCGTGGCCTTTCCAGGGCAGAAAAGCAGCGTGCTGCGCACGCACACCCATCGGGGTCCCACCACGGTGAGTGTAGAACCCTTCCTGCAGATTTACAGTATTCTACACCCGCATCGTCATTTCTTCATGTCAATAAAAGCAGCAGGAGGTGGATGTCACTGCCAGCCACAGCCACGATACGGGTTTGCTGGCGTGGCTCAGGCAGTGGGGGAAGCCCACGCATCTGACCCCAAAGAGCGGGAAAGTCCTCCAGGCTCCTCCAGTAAACCATTCAACTGCAGATGTGTCGAGCCCCCCGCACTGCTCAAAAGGTCACGCAGCTGGGAAGGTACAAAAGCCCCGCAGCAGATATTTTGATTTCATTTTTAATGAGTTGCATCAATGCTATTCAAGCAGAGTTGTCGCGGTGCTCGGTGAACACCCACCAGAGCAGATGCAGGGCCAGCGGGCACTCAGCACGTACAAAAGCGGTGCGCGGGGTGTCAGGCAGAGCCTGCCGTCTCTCCGTGTTTGGGGAAAAACCTGGGGAGGAGAGGACAAGGGAGCAGACCCGTCTCTGTCTGCTTACAGGTAGTCTCAGAGCTGACCCCTTTGTTGTGCAGGACCAGCCCCAGTTGAGGCAAGTCACGTACAGATGCTGGAGATGGGGTGATGCTGAATTTCTCGACATTTTTAGACTTCTCAGACTTTAAATACAAAGGGCCACATCTAATATCTGGCGCGGAGGTCTGCCGACTTGGCAATAACACACATCTGCAGGCCTGCACCATTCAAGATCCCTGGTCTCAGTTCCTAGGCTGCAGACCAACCCCCCATGTCTGGAGGTTGCTGCTGGGAAGGCAGTGCCCGCGATGTAGCTCAGACACCGTAGACTCCTACCAGGCCCAGAAGCATCAAGACAAAAACGGGAAACAAACCTGGGGGCACATGATGAAAGGTTTTCCCCCAGGAGTAATACTTTCACCTCACATCTCATACCCTTTTGCATCCACATACTGGAGGACTCTGAGCAACAGCAGAGCTTCACGTCTGCACTTCAGTGTTTCTTTTCTTCACGCATTAGCTTTGAATCAGTCAGTTACTCTGCAAAAGTCAGATCGAGACAAAAAAGCGGGGAGAGCGATACAGGGAATGACAGCAAGGAATAACTCAGGGCTGGCAAACTACTGTTAGCAGAAGGACTATTGCATTTCTCTGTTACATAGAGAAATTCTAATAGATAATAAAGAAAGCAACAAAGTTCATTGCTGGCCTGGCACTGCGTCACCGCATGCCGGGAGTTACATCTCGGGAGGGCAGTTAACTTGATCCGTGGGCATCATTTTCTCGGTGTCAATCTTGTGGGACTGGAGAACGCTCTTCAGGTGCTCCACGGTTTCTGGGTGCATATCTGGAGCTCTTGACATAATCCAGGCGTAGTCAATGTGGAAGAGCCAGAGGATGTTAGTGCAGGAGTAAACCAGCGAGTAGTTTTCATAGTCGGTGGAGATGACCCAGTAGGGGGCAGAAGGCATGACTAGGAGAAAGAAGGGCATTGTGAATGCCACGGGTAACTCATTCCGGACCGCTCTGCAGCACTAGAGCCGCGGCTCCTGCTGCTGTTCCTACTTTTGCTGCTCCTGAGCTGCATAATTGTGATCAGTACAGGGAGCCACAATTTATAAAAGTCTATCAGGACTCCTTGTTCTGCCCAGAGGGACTCGAGAAAGCCACAAAGCCCCAGCTAGGGAGGTCCTGCTCTAAAGTTAACACCATGCCCTGAACAGCTTGGCCGGGCCACTGACCACCAGCCCAGCTTGTACCTGTGTGAGGGTGCTTGCTGGTGGGAAGGAGCTGTAGGGCTGGGAGCGGTCACCAGTTATCTGAGGAGCATGAACCACCACCTCCCTCCCCACCACCCGCTGTCTCACACAGCCGGCTGGAGCCCAGCCAGTGGGAATCAGTTTGGCTCAGGCCGTCCCGCCGGCAGCAGCCACCTGGGCCAAATTCTATTCTCCATCAGGCTGCTATGCCTAAAGCATCTGCTCTGATGAGGAACAGCCACTCAGGCTTCAAACTGTCAGGCAGAAAGTAGAGGTGGGTCCAGCAGGCAGGCGTAAGCGTCCTGGGATTTATTTCTGGTGCACTCGGTAACGCTGGGCACTGCTCTCAGAGGCTCGTGTCCAGTGAGGGTGATTGGGGCTGCACGCTGTGCAGGCAAATTGGCTGCGGGTGATGCCTTAGCAGAGCATAATTAAGCCTGGCTGTGCTTATGAACAATAATTGTATCTCCTTTGCAAGTACCCCTGCTCCACCCATTTCTCCAAATACCCCGTCTGTGACAGTGCTGTGAAACGGCCAAGGAAAAGGGGTGAGGGAGCAGAGTAAAAAGGGAGCCGAGGGAGACTTTGGCTCGCCTTCCAAGTGTTGCTGTGGAAAAAGTGCTGTGCGACGTGAATAAAATGCACTGCCCCTCGGCAGGCCCCTGTCGTGTGTTACATTGACAAGGGAAGGAAAAGCAAACAAAACCACATTAGTAACGGTTATTAAAAGGCACTTGTGAGGAGAGGCAGGGTGGGCTAATAGCTATACCGCTGTGTTCAGAAAACCAAGCCTATTCCTGGCCCTTGCAGCAGCTGTGGGGCTGCCACCCCTACCTTTCCCCCCTCCCAGTCCCCATCTGTGAAATGACCTGGAGGGACGGTAATGCTGCTCATCTTTCTTGCTTTGAGACCAGTTGGTGAAGAGTGCTCTACCACTGTGGGGGCCGTTGCTGTAGCTGATGTATAAATATCACCAAACCGCTACCTGCTGGTCACAGCATCTGTCCTAACCCTTCGCCATTGCCCCATCATGCTGTGCTTAAGTCACCGGGGCAGCTTCTCCTCTTGCTTTGCTAGTTTTGCACCCCTGGTGACACGCAGCAGTGCCTGCTATGTGCAGGCGCTGCCCTCCCGCCATGCCTGGACCACTGCACTACTGAGGCTGGTGGGCACTGGGGAGCCGGCTGGGGCTGCGAGCATCCCAGCCACACACTTACACCAGTTAAAGCGGACACCCAGCTTGGCCGGCTCTTTTACATCCATGTGCATGATTTCTCCTTCCACTTCATTGACTTTGCCACTGGAACTAAGTGGAAAATGACAAGGCGAGAAATAAAATCAGGTGAGTTTGAAATCACATTATTTTTTGCTTCCACTAAATCATCCCTTCTGACACATCCACCTGCCAAGAGGAAACACGTACAGCAAGCCACAGCATCCTCGGAGGAATAACTTGCCCCTGAGGATGGTTTCAGTAGCACCCAGGGCACACCAGGTCCTGGGCCATGCGCGGCAGGGCAAATGATCTCTCAGGTTAAACCACCCCATCACCCCAGGGTACCTCTCTCCAAGTGCCCCTGCCAGCGGGGTGCTCTTCAGTGCCACAGGGACGGTGACAAAGAGGGAGAGCAAGACCCCTCTGCACAGGATGGGAGGATCCCAGCACTGACCTCGGACGTGCCAGGGAGCAGCTCAGCTCCTGCTAGTTGTGGAAGGCATGTGTTCACGTCTCTTTAATCACCTGCGTTTTTTCCAGGTCATGGCACATTCCCCCGCACACGAATTACCTGTCCCTGCTTGGTGAGCCAGAGTTTGTTTCGCTGCTGGTTCAGAGCAGTGCCCTGCTGGCAGCAAGCCCTATGACTGGGGCTGCCCATCTTATAATTGCATTTTTCCCTGGATGCCTCGAGAGCCGGACGCTGCCTGTGGGGCAGGAGAATTTCACGCTTCCCTGTGAAGCAGCAACACCCAAGGAGGCAGAAGCTAAAGCTGCCGGCGGCAGAGGTCAAGGGGCTGATGCTGGAGTGTGCACAGTGCACACCTGACCCAAAATATCCCTGATGTTTCAGGGTCCTGAGCTGCTGCAGTGGTAACTAAATGGTCAGATTAATCACCCGCAGATTAATGCGGGTGCAAATAAACGGCCAGCTGTTTGCCAGGCGCTGCCCAACACTGGAGCTGCAGAGACGGTGCTGCAAGGTCAACGGGCGGCATGGACACTGTTCTCTCGGACACAAGGGATGTGTGGCTGCGTTGTTGTTATTGTGAGCCAGAACAAAGTCCCCATGCCATGCCAGGAGCGCAGGGGACAGAGCTGCGTTCACCGCTCGCTCCCTCTCATTCATTCAGCCACCCACAGCAGCACCCCACGACAGCTGGGGCTGGTGATGGAACCAGATGGATTAATATCTGCATTAGTCCTTGCAAAAAGCCAGGAGGGCTTGGGATAATTGCAGACTCTCAAGTTTAATAAAGGGAACAACCGGTGCGTTCACTTTGCTCAGTGATTTAAGCTGGCACTGATTGCTGATCCCCTCACGCAGTTACTACCAGTGCAGGTGAATGTTCCACAAAAAGGCTGGCAAATATTTGCTTAAGTAAAGCTGACCCGTGTGCTTCACCTTCCCTGCCCCTTTTCATCGGGTCCATTTACTCCGGAGCAGAGAGGACCACAGGGCACAGGCACCTCTCAGCACGCAGGGGCACAAGGTGGTGGCTGCCGTGACCCCCTGCGGCAGGACCCGGGGCATCCGGCTTCTCAGCCAGCACTGGGAATCACAAACCGGTCAGGGGGGAGACACAGGCTATTTCACACCGGGGTCACCATGTGCATTTGATTTATTTTCTCACTGATTGCCTTGCACAATGAGACAGAGACCAGCTGAGCCCCGGGCAAGCACCAGCAGAAACCAGAGACTCCCATCTCTGCCATAACGGCGGCAAAGCCCATTATCCCAGCAGAGCTATCGCAACCAGAGGGTGCCTCCCGGAACCAGACAATTTGGAAAAAAATGCCCACCCAGGACAGCAAGAGAGGTGACAGGAGAGCCACCGCTGCTGCAAGGACACGGCCTGAACGCAAACACTTACAGCAGCTCTTTGTTGATCACCTTGAACTTCCCATTCTCCTTCAGCGAGTAATTTGCCTGGATGCAGCTTCCTTTCTCGAAACTTGAGGGCAGCTTCTCTATCTCATACCATTTCCCCAAATACTGATAGAAGAAAATCCAGAGAGACGCTTTTAGCACGAGAGGGCTGGGGCAGAGCAGCCCGGCTCGTTTGCTGGCAGGGTTTTGCCTGCTCAGTTTGCTCCAGCACCCACCTCCATGGCACGGGAGGCTGCGGGGGGCTATCGGGGCCACAAACCTGTGCTGGCATCTCCAGCACAAGGTGTCGAGACCAGACCTGCCAACCCCCGCCATGCACCCGGGCAGTTTGCCATCAGTCCCACGTCCCCTCAGCCTAACTCGCTACCCGCCGTGAGATTTTTTAGAAAGCTTTTCATACCTTGTTGATATCAAAGTCTTCTTGGACCGGTGGATCTGGGCACGGTCCCATGTGAAACATCTGGCCTTTGCCAAAGCTAAGGAGGCCGAGCAGAACCGAGAGCCTCACCGCCGTGCCCAGCATGGCTGCGCCGGGATGCAGGTGGGAAGTGGACCTGGGGAGGAGGAAAACAACTGAGACATGACCTCCGTGGAGCAGAACTTTGCATGAAATACGGCAAGAAAAGACAGGACGTCTGCAGCATGGCACCTCGGGGGCGCAGCGAGGAGAAAAGGATCATAAGAAAAGCACGCAGGCACTGTGCCAAACAAGTCCCCAGCCCAAAATGGCCTCAAGCCCTGCCTGTGCTCGGGCTGTGCCCAGCAGCTCTGCGGGCAGCAAGGCAATGCCTGGTGAGAGCACTTGAACCCATCACCTGCACCTGACACCTAACAAGATGCAGGGGGGATAAACATCCCTGGACACGCAGGAGCATCGCTGTTTGTCCAGACCTGAGGCAAGGGGAAATGCTGGGACGTTTGCTATGAAATGCTGGAGCAGAAGGAACGTGCGCCAGAGCCGGGGCAGAGCTGGGGACATGGGACATGGGAGCGAGCAGTGTACACATGCAGGAGCCGGCACGGTGAGAGGGACGTCCCCACATGTGCCAGGGCTGCCTGGCCCTGCGAGGCAGTGGGAGGGGGACCGTGCAGCTGCCTCTGGGGGTCTTCGTGTGCCAGGGTGTTCGCAGCACTGCAGGGTGGGGACGTTGGTCGAGGCTCAAATCAGCACCATGAACTGACCCCCGAGATCATGCTGTGAGGAGGGAAAGGACACATTTTCCTGCGGAGCAGAGGTGGGAGCTGTGCTGCTCACCCCTGAGCAGCCCCTGGAGCCAGGATGCTGCCCACATGCTTCGGGCTCTGCTTGGGGCAGGTTGGCACCTACAGACCCTGCAGCATGGGGCTGCTCTGCCTCCTTGGCCAGAAACTCCTCTGCAGGTGCAGCAGTAGCATTTTCCCCAAATTTAAAAGAAAAGGCCAGTCTGTCTCCAGCCACGGGGCACGGACCCCGCCGCGGACACAAACACAGCTCCCATTTTGAATCTCTCCATTCAGAAACGTACCTTGGCTGGCGAGGTGGAGTGATGCTCTGCGGAGGACCAGGGCTGCAAGGAACAGCTCTGTGGTGAGCTCTCCGCCTCGTCGTTTTATAAGCGCGCTGGGATCATCATTATTCAGCAGTAGCACAAGCCACTCCCTGGTCCTCGACGCGTTTTGTTTTTTTGGCAGGCCAGTCAGCTGCCTTAGATCTGCAGCTGGTACGAAGCTGGAGATGGGCTGCAACTTGGCTGCTCACCCAGGCAAACAAAGGCACCCCACGTGTCTGGGTATCGCTCTGCAGCTGCGGAGCTCTCTGCCCTTCGGCCGCCCACGAGAGCCTTGGCCCTGGGTGCACACGGCAGGGGAAGGGGAGAAGTGCCACAGCCTTTGAGAGGGGCTGGGGACAGCAGCGGCTCCTGTCCGTCCCGCAGCCATCACAGTGCTCCCAGGGGGGATATGCAACCAGCTCTGCCTGGGGCCACTCGAGCCCTCCAGGCCACTGCAACATCCTTGTCCCCATCACAGTCACTCGCGGGAGTACATGGGGAGGATGAAGTAGCAGGAGGCATCGCAGGCTCGTCTGGGGATCTGCAAGACCTCTCGGCAGTTTTTCTTCTAGATTTTCAAATCTCATTAGAAGGAAAGATCCCAGTGCAATTAGTTCTGCGCTGACCTGGCAGTTTTTCCAACAGGTGCCCAGAAAATGACTTTGACAGCAGAGCAGCCATCTGTGAAGGCAGCCAGTCCCGAGGGTTATGCAAGGAGAGTTGAGTAACAGACAGGATGCTTTCTGGGTTTAATTACATTTTATTTTAATCTAATCTCCGTTGAGACTTTCTCTCTAGGTGTGTTTTTACACGCTGCACCGCGTGCCTTACTCACACGTGCACACGCACACTCTAGAGCCCCTGGCTGCCCAAATGCCACACCAAGAGCCACAAATAGCTCCATCCTGTCCCTTACCAGGTCTGTGACCTGAAACATGGCCACAGCCAAGGTGCTCCCAGGACCTGGATGACCATCGCAGCTGAGCATGGCTCATCCAACACAGACCCAGCAGCGCCAGCCACGGGTGAAGAGCTCAGAGGAGCACCCGGTCCACGACCCCGCTGGCAGTGCTTGGCACGGGGCAGGGGAGCGCACCGGGGCTCTCCCTGCCTGCACCCAGCTCCCTCAGCAGCTGGGCAGCCATCGCGTGCTCTGGGTTGCGTGATGGGGTTGCCCACATCAAAGTCAGAGGTGTCCTGCAGACCCTCTGCAAGGCCCAGGTTCATCTGCACCTCTCGTAATACAAACAGGTTAAGCAATCGCAAAAACCCTGGACAGATGCCCTGACCTAAGTGGTACAAGTGCTGCCGTGCCGTAGTGACTGGGGGGGCGAGATCCGTCCCCCCACAGCAGACCAGCAAGCCAAGATCTTCTCCTGAGCTTGGCTGCCTGTGTCCTGCAGAGCAACCAGAGGAGAAAGCACTGCAGAACCGCCAGCTTTGGCCACAGCAGAGCATTTGCCCTGTGTGCGTGAGGACACGCACGTGGAGATGTGTTGGTGTGTGTATCCACATCTGCACATGGGGGACTCTGCTGCGGGATGGAGTGAGGACTCCCTGGCTGTGGTGGCAGCATTTTGCCCTTGGATAGAGCAGTTCTGATGAAGCTTTTTGCCCTGCTGTGGGGCTTGCGCTCACTGTGACACCCAGGCACTGCCCAGCACCCAAGGGTGGCCCTGCAGTGCTGGCCCTGCCAGTGCTGCGCCTGGGTGGCCGGGCACTGCAGTTTTGGCTCCCAGCACCCTGTGGCCAAGGTCACACCAGAGCAGCAAAGTGTCCACCCAGCCACGCTCCATGAAACCTGCTGCATTACAAGTCTTATGAGGAAAGACTGAGGGAACTGGGGTTGTTCAGCCTGGAGAAGAGGAGGCTGGGGGGAGACCTTATCACCCTCTACAACTACCTGAAAGGAGGGTGTAGAGAGGGGGGGGCTGACCTCTTCTCCCTGGTGAAAAGTGATAGGACGAGAGGAAATGGATTCAAGTTATGTCGGGGGAGGTTTAGATTGGATATTAGGAAACATTTTTTCACTGAAAGGGTTATTAGACATTGAAATAGGCTGCCCAGGGAGGTGGTGGATTCGCCATCCCTGGAGGTGTTTAAAAAAAGGGTAGATGTGGTACTTAGGGACATGGTTTAGAGGTGGTTTTGTCAGGGTAGGTTGATGGTTGGACTTGATGATCTTAAAGGTCCCTTCCAACTTCAGCGATTCTATGATTCTATGTTTCTATAATATCCATTCACCTGGGACATGTCCAGGAGGCGATGAGGGGCCAGGAGCCAGCAAGAAAGAGCTCATACTTCTGAGTGCCAGTGAGAGTGGAGATAGCATGTAGAGTGGGCTTTGCTGTACCCGTCGGCTCCCTCGCAGCCAGCACCAACAGCAGTGGAAACAAACCTATGTCTTGGTTGGAGACGCGGGGGTCCCTCCTCCAGCCGAAGGCAGGATCTTCAGAAGCCCAGGGGCTGCAACGGCTGGAGCCCTGCTCCTCTGCCAGCCAAGGGGTGTCCCACGGTGCCAAGGCACCGCACGCCTTGAAGCAGATATGATGAGAGTTGACAGCTGAGCTCGCTGCCGGCCGCTGGGATCTGTCTCCACGTGAGCGCTGGCTGCGCCTTCCCCAGAGGCACATTTCTGGGTTCTGCTCAGGTACCTGCTGCTCCCGTGCTGGAACGGGGCAGGCTCAGGCTCTTGCAGCTGAGTCCCTGCTCAGGCCACCCAGCCAGGACGTGTTCAGCAGCCATCCCACCTCCAGCACCCACTGGCACCGCTCACCCACACAGACCAGGGTCCTGCTCCACGTCCCGCCTGTCGTTAGCCCGGAGCAGGACTCTGCTCGCGAGCCCGTCCAGCCGCAGTGCACACCAGAGCAAGGGTTCGGGGAAAAGCATAACCTCATAATTGCATCTAATTGTGGGGTGGGGAGAAGTCATCTCCACCTGGTAAGCAGTTTGTACCCTGGAGCAGAGGAGGGGAGGCACATCAAAGGGCAGGAAGCTGGAGCAGGGGCGGGAGGAGAGGAAGGAGGAGAGCTGGGGTGGGGGGAAACCAGGGCAAAGGGGGGGGCTCAGAACGCTTCATGCAAGAATGAAGCCTCCCCCACATTTCTGGGCGATGAGGCGGCTGCCAGGCAGGTGTACGGGGTGCATGCACAGCACGCAGAGGGTGAAGTGCCGCAGGGGCTGGAGGACAAGGCAGCGCGGATGGGGTGTGCGGGCAGCGGGCACAGGCGGGGAGGCAGTAGTGGGCATGAAGCACACAGGGGTGAGGTGGCACAGGCTACGCCGCACGTCCAGGCCGTCCTGCGTGCGGGGCACGTACAGGGTGTGCGGGGGGTGAGGCAGCGCCGGGCGGACGCTGCGCATGGTGTAAGGCAGCAGAGTGTCCAGGGCACATACGGATGGGCGACATCGTCCGGGATTCTCTCGTGTCACGCAGTTGTCCGTTTCAGAGTCAAGGCTCGGCTGGCCCTCAAGAGAGGAGGCAATGGCACAGAGTGCTGCTGGCAAAGAAAAAACCCTCGTTAGAATAAGCTGGAGCTGCAGATAAAACCTGCGGGCTGGGACAGCGCAGTGCCACACCACCCCTGAAGCTCTCCCCGCAGGTATCCTGGCTTAGTGCAGAAGTGAGACTGTCCCATCGTGCGCACCAGGCCACCCTGAAATCGGCTCCTGGCACCCCGGAGAAAGGCCGTTTTACCACGCTGCGTCCTCCAGCTGGGATTGCGGCAGCCGCAGAGAAGCCCCTGGCAGCTGTGCGCCTGGGGATGGGAGAGCAGCCGGAGTGATACCATCATCTCAGCCCTGTGACAAGATCCAGTCCAGGCCTTCACGTTACTTAGGACAGTCTTGAAACTGCCCAAGCTCTCACCAGTGGGAAAATCCTCTGGTGGAGGCACTGGAGGGACCAGGAGCTCCGGGTACACCCTTTGCTCGTGGGACACCACCAGCTCCAGCCCTGGGAGCCACTAGCCCAGGGCTCCCTGCCTGTGCCCATGAGGATGCTTTCATGTCCAGATGGTGTCTGTGCAACCCAAAAGCACAGGGGCTGCAGAGCTGCCACGGTCATCGCCATTTTACACTATTTTGCATGAACAGATCCTGCCTTCAGGCCTGCTGCCTTTGAAGTCCCGGTGCTGGAGGTTCTCTGCAGGACCTGCAGCGTCGAGGCATCATGTCCTGGGACCCGGGATATCCTGGGAGTCCTGAGATTCCCACCACGGAGACGCCGTTGTTTGCATGGACACCTCTTCCTGCCTCAGGAGGTGCCTTCCCTCCTTTCTCTCTTATCTCCTGCAAATTAATTTCTGTTGTTTTTCTAAAGGAAACGGGGCTTTGGGCTGGCCAGACAAGTTCCCACATGTATATAGAAACAAAAATGAACTTGTAGGAGACAAGACAGAGAAAGGGAAGGCAGGTGGGAATTTTCCTCTGTCTCTAGGAGTGGCAGAAAGTGCTTTGAAATCTGTTCATGCAAAATGGTGTAAAATTTCAAATTACAGTTATGACACTAAAGGAAGTAAACAGACTCTGGAAGCGTGAAGTAGCCTCTGGGATGTGGGAACTCAGTCCAAGGCAAGTCTACGAAAGGTGTTGTGATTCATGTGTACACAATTAGTTAGTAGCTCTCCACCCTGGAAATTATCCAATTATGTATTCAAAACACAAGAAACCAAAGAGAGATCTTCAAGAAATTGGAAAACTAAAAAAGTTATTATTATTCAAGGGACAAACCCTGTTGTGCAGGACCAGCAGTGGTTCTGGCTGGGCTCTGAGGAAGGCTCCCTGACCTGCTTGGCACTGCTGCCGAGGTCCAGGTCTGTGGAGAGAGGAGCCAGAGGGATCCCTAGTCTTCTGAAGGTAGAAGAAACCAAACAGAGAGAAGAAAAACACAGCTAAAGAGGTACAAAAGAGACAGCAGGCAAGTCTCTACAGCCAGAACTACATTGCAGAGCCGGAGCTGGACCAGTGGTACAGCTTTGGCCCAGAGGTGTCGCACTGCTGCGGGTGTGCTCACCATAAAAACCAGAGTTCAAGCAGTGCATTTA